GACCTGTAAATATGTAATAAGAACAGTACTGTATGATGGCAAAAAGTCAATTGATACTGTACCAATGACGCTGTCCCATGCAGATTAAGTCTACGATAAGATACTATAAAAAGCTGGACAAAGTTAGCACACAACAGTTTTCCATCATTATGTAATCAAACGTTCTTCATCACACTTCTCAGTTCTAAGAACCCTGTTGTAACAAAGTGGGGAAGTGTGTCAAATGCTTATTATAGAACTTGGTATCTAGCTGAGGTGACTGTGGAAAAGGGGAGAGAAGGGAGGGGGTCGGCCCTTTGTTTTCGGCCCAGACAGACAGCCGAGAGCCTATCGCTCCTCATTATAATTCTCCTTATCACTAGACGATTCCTCTCTTCGCCGGCTAGACTCATATGGGCCAGGAACGTTATTAGTGGGGAGAAAGCGATGAATAGTCATCAAACAGGAACCAAAGGTGGCTAAAAATTCAATAAACAAAAAAGATTAGTGCCATGCTGACAATAAATGTTTTTATGATAGTTAGAGAAAGGCTGAATGATAAGTACATGTATTGCTGATGAAATATTTCATTTGTCTGTGCTGCTCAAGACTCAAGAGAGTCTCATTACCGATTTTGTAAGCAACACGGAGGCCAACTTGGCAATCTAGGGATGTTTATATTCCTTCTTTGTAGTCTCAGGGCGGGCAGTAGATGGATTTGTCCATCCGCCGTGTTCGTCTGTCCTCGTACGAAGTTCCGCGACGTGACGGTTTGACGGGAGACGATTTAAAGTTACGAGCCGGTGCGAAAAAACAAAGGTGACGGAATGAGGCTCTGTCGCGACAAAACAATAGTGAATCCCATTTGTCTATTTGAACGCCTTCAAATCGGCAAGGTGCTTTTTGAATATTGATACATGTTTATTCGGATTTACTTAAAACTGAATGAAAATCATCATCAGCAATAAATCTCTTGTCAACAGTCCAGCGCCGGTCTTGCCCAGTTAACAAACCGCCCCTGTTCGCGGCCTATATAGTGAGAAAGTGTTTATTCGTGACCTTTACCCTGATCTAGGGTGAGAAAGTGTTTGTTAGTGGCCTATATAGTGAGAAAGTGTTTGTTCGTGGCCTTTATCCTGACCCATGGTGAGACAGTGTTTGTTTGTTGTCTATACAGTGGGACAGTGTTTGTTTGTGGCCTATATAGTGAGAAATTGTTTGTTAGTGGCCTATACCCTGCCCCAGAGTCAGAAAGGCAGTGATGATGATGTGCATATTATTATTACATTGACGAGCGTCTGATTACACCGTGTGGTGACAGATACATACATTTTCTCTCTCTCTCTCTCTCTCTCTCTCTCTCTCTC